TGTACACTCAATGGCTAGCGAATACCCATAATGTACTGAGAGGGTTGTGCCGAAATAATTCCCGTAATGGCACCTGCAGCCGAATCATTCATCCATTTTCATGTGGGTACAGCGTAATGTCATGCAGGTACACATTTCTATTCAATTGATTATTAAATAGTTTAATTAAGGTTTAAGGCCACTGCACACTGAGTCCGAAATTTTCGCACATTGAAAAATAAATACGACCTCACGTTGTGTCAATCACGTTTACACACTGCCTCTGAAACTTTCGTCCGTCATAAAAAAAATCAGACCAGGTTCGATTTTCTGCGTTTTCACATCCGTAGCAAGCATTTTGATAGGAAAGGATGACGAATACGAAAAGTACGAAAATCGCATACGAAAATTTTGGACTCTGTGTGCAAGGACCTATATACATGCTACAGTAGTTACCATGCAAGAGTTCAAGATATATCTTTTCATTAGAAGCTGTCAGTTTTATTAGTTAAATTAGTGAACTCATAGATATGTATAGGTAGATGCCCTATTAGCGGCTGTTTCTATGAGCCACTATACGTAAGCAGTCCGCCATATTGAAATAGTCAAATCTGGTCTGTGAACACTTGAGAGCAAGTTGCCGGTGCATCTGCACTGCAACTGTAGTTATACGGATGTATGAATATCCATATCTTCAGTAGGTTTCAGAAGATGCTTTTGCTAAGCTAACACAATACAACAAGAAGAAACCGTTAGCTAACAAGATCTTTAAAAAGTACTTTAGTTCAAAAACCTGTAATATTGAGTTAATACATATTAAAAACACAAACCAACACATTCTTAACTGTGAAAATGTATCCAGTTTCTTCAAGAATTTAAATGTAGGCCGTTTTTACAACTAGATGCTGTGCAATGTTGCTGCATCTTGAAATACATTGATTTTTATTGTGATTGACAACATATAGACCGTTCCAAGATGGCGGAAGCATTGACGTGTCTAAGCGGGTCGAATGTTGCATCTACCTATACATATCTATGAGTGGACTAATGTAGGGAATAGTAAATTAGATTTACGAATAAGCAACCCAAATGGTCTTGAGACCAGAATATCATATATTCAGAAAAACTGCATGGCAACACCCTAGCAAACACATAGCAATGGGCTGAAAACCACTCAGCAAACCTTAGCAACTGTAAAACAACACCCGTCAATTACCTACAATACCATAGCAAACATTTAGAACACCCTAGCAACCAAACAGTAATGCAGAACAATCTAGAACAGTACATATTTTGTGGCAGCACATAAACAGTATACATATTTTCAATCTCTTCCTAATCAAACACACCTGATTCGACTGTTGCGCTCGTGTCTCACTGCTTTTGCAGCGTCTTGCATGAGCACCACATTTTTAAGAGACCGCGTCAAGAATATATATAACTTATATATGGCGCCACTCATCAATGTCAGTTCCAAAGCAGTGGACCAATCAGAAGACCCCAGAGGCAGGGCAAGTGTTGCGAGCTTTTGTTTACAGTAGCAAGCTGGCATGGCAACTGTTTTATTTGATGGCAACATGGCGGCCAGAGGCACTGTTATTTCCGTTATTCACAGATAACGTCTCAAATGCGTGTCTCGAGACCATCGCATTCTGCACTGCTTTTTTTAAAACCATTCCTGAGCACTGCGTCTCACATTTTTAGACGCAGACACGTTCTGTTTCAATGGATAAAAAAAAAAACTAAAGAGCAGTGAGAGATTTTCTCTCTTTTGTTGTTTGATTAACATGAATAACAGACAGCAGGAATATTAGACTGCTGTCACTTTAAGAGCTGCCCGGATCCAATATATTGTTACACGTGTGTTTCCTTTCTCAGCCGTTTGGTCGGGTGGGTCGGGTAATAAAAAAAAATGCATTCTGATTAATTAACCCGGTGTGTTGCGGGTGGATGAGATCAATCATTAATGATGCAAATATTAACTACATTTCTCTAAAATACGAATGTGTTTTAAATGCATTTTTCATCAGGCAGACGCTAATTTGCACTCATTTAAAAAAATAAAATATGTGCGTCATGCATGGCGGCGGGACAAGGGGGTCCATTTCTGAAAGCAGAAATGAAGGCGAAACAGATCCGAGAGAAAATTAAAAACAAAACAAAAGGAAGGAAAGAAAAGTGCCGTGTGGGAGCATTTTAGCGAAGTGGTTAACGAGGAGGAATCAAATGCTGGGTATGTAATATGCAACGGCTGTGAGGTACTGTATGTATATGAAAGCCACAAGACTGGTACCTCGAATATGGTACATCATGTGTGCTAAATCAAAAGGCCAGTCAAGTCAGACAAACACCTTAAGTTCTTACGTTTGTCGGGACAGCAAAAAAATACCACTGGAAGTTAAGTCTAGTCTCGTGGATGCATTCGTGGACCTGTGCTGCCTAGATATACGCCCCTTCGATGTTGTCTCAGGCAAAGGATTCCTCCAAGTGGCCCAAACACTAATAAACATCGGTGCCAAGTACGGTGCAGTTGACGCTGATGCTATCCGCTGGTAAAGAAAAACTTTCAGAGGCCATCCAAAAAGTTTTGGAATACAGTGGGATTGCTGTTTCCACAGATATGTGGACAGACGAATTTAACAAGAGGACATATGCTGTCCTTACATATCTATATCTATACTATATCAACGAGAAGTGGCATCTGGAAAGTCGCATTCTGGCACCAGTGGAATTTGACAGTAATCTAAAAAAAAAACAGCGAAAATATCCATGATCAAATAACCACTGTGTTAATGAGTTATGGAATAACAGCAGACAAGATCATTTTTGTCAGTGACCAGGGCCCAAACATTAAAGGGGTCCTATTATGCTTTTTCACTTTTTAAATTTAGAATGGCAGACAGCAGGAATATTAGACTGCTGTCACTTTAAGAGCTGCCCGGATCCAATATATTGTTACACGTGTGTTTTCTTTCTCAGCCGTTTGGTCGGGTGGGTCGGGTAATAAAAAAAAATGCATTCTGATTAATTAACCCGGTGTGTTGCGGGTGGATGAGATCAAAGCGGATGATTTCAGGAACAAGTGGTTGCAATTTATTTTTTAATTCTGTTCCTGAGCATTATAACCCCAATTTGCTATTGTGTGCTGCGCATTTTACTGAGGACAGCTTCCGCAACAACCGGGAGGACAGTGCTGGATTTGCCAAAAAGCTTTTGTTGAAAGACGGAGCAAGGGGCATGGCAGTAATGAAACCCCGTCTAAGCTGTTCGCCAATCACAACGCACTGGGACAGCTAACCAATCACAACACATTTTGTTTTTCGGAAGGCGGACCTTCATCAAAGCCGGAACTAATCGAGCCGTTTGTGCCAGGATGGGGAGAAAGGTATTTTAATAATGTAAATTATGTGAAAAATAATGCGTTTTTCGAACCACCAAGCATGAGAGCATGTTCTAGTACACCCCCAAAACAAAATCAAGACTTTGTAAAAGAGCATAATAGGACCCCTTTAAGGCTGCACTTTGGACCTACCACTGGGTTCCGTGCGCCGCACACACGCTGAACACGGTGTTGAGACACGCGTTCAGTGAGAGGAATGCACCAGAAGGCATCAAAGACGTGCTGGAAATGATAGATAATTGCAAAAGCCTGGTGACATTTCTGAAGAGAACAGGTGCTGTTGCAAGTTTAGCGCACACTGTCATTCAAGAATGTGAAGTTTGATGGAACAGTAAAGTAGACATGCTGGAATCTATATTAAAACAGTATAGTGACATTAGACAGCTTCTGGAAGACAAAGGCCAGTTGCATCGGATGGAGGGCATCTTTCAAGGCCAGCTCATGCACTTGATTGAATTCCTCACTCTCTTCAAATTAGCCATTAACGAGCTCGAAGGAGAAAAATACCCAACAATTCACATGGTGTTACTCTGGTTTTTCAAGCTTAAGAGACACTGTGAGCCCAAGTTTGGAGATCCATCATACATGGCCTATCCCGCACTACCTAAGCATGTAGACCACTGAAACTGTTGGAGCGTTCATGTAAACACATGAGCGTTTAACCGCAATAGAGATGATATTCCAAAATCTCTACCGGTTGACAAATTTCTACCGGTTAATCTGGTCTACCGGTATAATCACCCATCCCTACACAACACCCTAGCAACCATCCATAACGCCTTAGCTGGTGCATAGTAATGCCCTGGTAACCACCCACAACATTCTAGCAACCACATAGCAATGCACTAAAACCACTTTAAACACCTTAGCAACCACAAAACAAAAGATTTGGTTCTGAAAACAACATTTAAGAAATATTTTCAGCTATTTTGTGTCATTGTGATCAGTCATTATAATAGACACGCACACATAAATGGGGTGTCCTGCATTGATCAGCCCTCTCTGCTCCTGCAAAGCATCTAATCTAAGACCCAGAGCCAGCACACACCGATCCAGGCACAGTGCACCGAGGATAAAACGTTCTTAGGCTCTGCGCCACATCTGAGGAATATTAAAACAATCCCATCAGCCAACTTCAAACGCTCGGCTCACGCGGAGAAAGAAAAGAGGACATCTGCAGAATATTCAAAGAAACGCTCCTTCCTCTGAGTGCTGTCACACAGTCTGGGAAACCTGAGAGAAAGAGATTATCTCTGAATTTAGATGAGCTGTGCTAATACAACAGAATGCAGAGAGGGAAGCAAAAGCTCTAGTGTCTGTCAAGCAGCGAAGATGAGGACTGCATTTGGCAGGACACACCAAGCATCACACGGACACTTCAATGAGTGCTTGGCAGGGCTAAATAAATTCCCATCCTGGGGGCCCCGATTCAAAACTTATTGGTTTCCAACTGGGAAGAGGAAACAGCTATCACATAGTACTGCGTTCTGCCAAATACACACGCAACATGCTGGTCGCTATCCAAATAGGCTTGCAATACCAATCCGGCTTGTGTGGTTGAAATAAGTGCATCAGAATGATAAAAGTGGATTTTTCTCTTAATCTGTTTGCTTTTTCTTACTGTCTATTAAGGGCTCGATGCGTTGTCCTGTAGAGCTCAATGTTTGTGTCTCTCTCCTCTCATTAAATCTGTATTTTGGCATGCTCATTTATTTTCCTCCCAAACTTGGCGGGTGTGCTCGTGCTGGCCAGTAATTAATTGGACCACCTGTTCCCAATCACCTTTACTGTTCCACCGCCCCCAAAGTATTATGGGATATGTAGTCGTCTGTGCTAGGGTAATGAGGTTATATGTGCACACTTAAAAAGGTTTAGACAGCATATTTTCAAGATGTTAAATGTAATGTATTTTTGGACGTATGGGTAGATTTGCCTTAATAAATACATAAACTGCAGTGACGCATAGAGAGAGAAAAAAGAGGGTGATGGTTTTTTTTTTTTTGGAAAGAAATATTAGTGTAGAGCTTACTGAATTATGCTCAGTATACTGTTTTAGAAATAGCATGTGAAACAGTAAGCATTATACAAAAATATATATATTTTTAAACCATAGTAGGCTATGTTACATTTCCTCTGCAGTGCAGTTCAGCTGTCATCTTGGAAAAAGTAATAATAATAATAATTAATTTTGCTAAAAATATTCTATTCTAGGAATTCAATTTTTAAAAAAATTGACTAAAATGGATAAGATATAATTTAGAATAGCATACTATGAATTTTTTTTTATAATTTTAAATGTTTTTATTTTTTAATTGGACTGCCAAAATGTATGAGGTTAAGATGTTAAAATGTTAAGATTTCCACCCAAAATTGGATTAAAAATGCAATAAATAATATTAATAAATAATCCATAACAAAATTCCCAACATGTACACTACTTGACTGAATGAAAGATTGTAGAATGTATGCAGTGTAGTGAAGTAATTTATGATTTACATAATGAATATCGTTTCATATGCTTTAAAAAAAATTATTTGGCAGCATTCATTGTATACTGTGCAGTATGCAGTAAGTAGTAAGCTAATATGCCACTGATTTGAAACGCTTGTAGGTAAGCTAACAATATCCTAAAAAAAGTACAAAATGCATAGCAAACTAAATATTGGGTAAATAGTAATTTTTATTACATTGACTGTTATTTTAAATCGATTATTTTTGGTATTAAATGAAATATAGAGTATATTTATAACCAGCATTTGTTTACTGTGATTGTCACAGTGCATTTTGAATCTGCAAATGATACATGCAATGCTGTTTTAGAATTTCTTCAAAATTAAGTATCTTGGGTAGAATAATATCGCTGTCTACCAAAGTATGTACAGTATACATAGTTTATAATGCAGAAAAAGTAAAAGTAGTGTGGTAGATTGCCTTCCAAAAATAGCCAGACAGACAGCAGGTAGGATAAAAGAGCATTCCGTGTCAGTTGTGCTGGCCTGGTTTGCCCAGGAGGGAGGAGTTCAGGAGCGCTGCAGTCAATAACACACCCATCACTTATCAAACCCCTCACAAGACTGACAATCCAGAGAGCGTCTCCATGACAACACAACTCACTCCACAGAACTGGCACACGGTTCAGAGCCAACTCTCGGCTGCGGCGTGAATAATAACTCCGCTGCATCTCTTAGACTTTCCTTAGAGCCCTTTTATTTTATGCAGTCTTAATTCAGAGGCTGCATTGTAACATCGTCTTGTTTCTTTTCATCTTTCTGAAAGGGTTTATTTTTGTAGCATTGCAACTAATATAAAGCTAACATTTCAAATAGCTACCTGCTTTATATGACTTTGGATGCGTTTTTGGTGTGTATTTGGTCACACTTTATTTTAAGGTCCAATTCTTGCTATTAACAAACCATTAACTATGACTTTTGCCTCAAACTCCTAATTTGCTGCTTATTAATAATTAGTAAGGTAGTTGTTAAGTTTAAGTATAGGGTAGGATTAGGGATGTAGAATATGGTCATACAGAATATGTGCTTTATAAGTACTAATATGTTATTAATAGGCATGCTAATAAGCAACTAGTTAAAAGAGAGAATTGGTCCCTATACTAAAGTGTTACCAGATATTTTTACACAAAATAAAAATGCAAAAGGACCCTTTTTATTTCCAAGGCGACAACTAGATTCCTCTCACTGAATTTAATATGCAAAGTGAGGTCATACGGCAATAATGTGGCATACTCAAAAATGTTAAGTTGCATAATGTGTTACTTCACATACCATTTAAAAATATGAGGTTGTATACAGTGTACATGCCATTATAAGCCAGTTTTAACCATATAATTTGTCTGCATTATGTATATGTACGTTTATCTACTGTAGACCCAAAACTCCTAACAAAACCTAGTTTTGAAATAATCCAGAGTGAGAGCCGTTGTCTGAGGTGGAACATGCGAGCCTGTGATATGTAACATATGCCACTGTCAGAGCAGAGAGGCCCATCCAGGATTTAATTCACACAGTCACAGACAGAAGTTTGTCTGAAACAGGCTGAACCCAAATTTGTCTTGTGCCAGTTATGCGTGAAAGCACAGCTTGAGTCTACACAGATGCATACATGATGAGGTGAATGAAGAGGGTAATAGACATAAAAAGAGTGGCAAAGACATCATGACAGACAAACCTAGATAAATAGACAGACAGACAGATAGATAGATTGTATTTAGCCTGTGTTGATTATGTTAGATGCCTACATAAGCTTTGAAACAGCCTCCCGCTGCTAAAAACCAACCATCCTAGGGAGACACGGGCCTATAAATTTAATCTTCAATCATTTTTACTACTTACCTTGTCGCCCATGGGAGCGTCTACAAATCTCCTACAATGTCCGTAACCGAGGCATTGATTCTGCAGCACTCCCACTGATGCATCTGCATCAGCTATGACAAGATACATTCACGGTCAAGCTGTAAAAATGGATTGAAATTAATTAATACATTTCTTTTAAAGTTCTTACACTACCCAATATGCCGTCCGTGTTCATTTAAAGGTGCTTTCACAATTGGTTCGATTGCTTATACTGTAGCATATTTTGATTGCCCGTATATGTTAACACTGTATTTTTTTTATTCCAAACAGTGGTATGATTATTTGATCGTAATTCATAAGCTGTTTACCCTTGTTGCCATAGAATGACGATGCAGGACAAGGCGGCGAAATGTATAGCGTTACTCACCTCACTTTTATAATTTGGTTTGTTTCCAGAGTGTGAACACATAACTGCACTTGTGTCTCAAGCCCTATATAGATGGAATTAGTTTTACATGGAGAGGTGGGGTAAAGTAATTATTACCAGAGCTTCTCAGTGATTTTAGACCTGTCCGAATGTGCCATCGCATTAATCATTACGGACAATAACTATGATTCCATCCAAAGATTTGAATTAAACTTATGCGCAAAATTGGAATATCGCATAAAACATTTGCGAATAAAGCACCGTTTCCATCCAACGAGTCAAAGAGAACAAAATCGTCACTTCCTGGTAAACTGGCACTAAATATCACTAAGAAAACTAGGAGACGTCACTGAATATAATAATTTTCATATATGTGACCCTGGACCACAAAACCAGTCACAAGGTTCAATTTTTTGAAATTGAAATTTATACATCATCTGAAAGCTGAATAAATAAGCTTTCCATTGATTAGGATAGGGCGATATTTGGCTGTGAAACAACTATTTGAAAATCTGGAATCTTGAGGGTGCAAAAAAAATCTAAATATCGAGAAAATCGCCTTTAAAGTTTTCCAAATGAAGTTCTTAGCAATGCATATTACTAATCAAAAATTAAGTTTTGATATATTTATGGTAGGAAATTTACTAAATATCTTCATGGAACATGATCTTTATTTAATGCTAGTCAAGTTATCCCGTCTCATAGCACAAAGTCACATGACTTTTTCCATGCGCATGGAGGATTTATTTATGCGCATTTTGCGATATTCAAAAATGAGCATTAAAATAGGTGGATGGAAACATAGCTAGTGTCTATAGACATTACAGCAACTTTTACCTTCTATAAAAATTACCTCAGGTAATCCTATCCCGTGCAAATAGACAAGCTGTCTACATTTATACGTAAATATTCCGTCAACGTCTGTTAGCTTTAGGTAAGTGCCTATTACCTACAGAATCCAATCAGAATTTAATTAATTTAATTAATAAATCGTTCGACTGGACCTAACTGATATTATAAGCAACATATTAAAAGCAACGCAGTATGCACAGGAAGCAATGTGCAACCAATGTGCAAAACAGCGTTCACATCATCCAAACAAACCGAACTCTGATGTCAGACAAACCCAGGTGTGCACCAAAAGTGCTAGCGTGAAAGCACCCTAATCATGTGTTTACCTCTGTTCAAAAACCTAATGAGCTACCTTGCTATCTACTACTTCGGGGGTGGCGAACGTCGGTCCTGGAGAGCCGCAGCCCTGCAGAGTTTTGCTTCAACCCTAATCAAACACACCTGAACAAGCTAATCAAGGTCTGAAGGGTTACTAGGAAGCTACAGGCAGGTGAGTTTTAATTAGGGTTGGAGCTGAACTCTGCAGGGCTGCGGCTCTCCAGGACCGGAATTCGCCACCCCTGTACTACTTACTAGTCAGCTTCCTACCCGAAATATAACCTTGTAATTGACAGATTTGAAACGTTCGCAGGAACTCACAATAGATTAACAGTTTGATGCTAACATGGTGTTAAGATAACAATGTTCTAAAAAATGTGATTTTGCCTTATTTTTTTGGGCCAAAACCAAGTATCTTGGAACTCAACAATATGTTTCTATCTACTTTTTGGAATAGCCTTCGAGTCAGGTGCGCTGCTAAGGTGTCTTAAAATGTTGTCTAGGTAGGCAGCTCACTAGGTTTTGGAGAAGAGCTAGTGTCTGACTGCAGGATCAGGGAATTTCATATTACCATGGATGCAGTGAGGTGATTTTCTCTCTCTTTTTCTTCTATTCTTTCCCACCATTCATCCCTCTCTGGAAGGAAAAACAACAATCTGCCATTCTCAGGATGAAACACAAACCCTGAGGCGTTACTCGATTCCTGCCTTGACAATACATTAAGCAGCAAACAACTGCAGCTTAGTGAGAAAGAGGCAAGGAGAGACGGGAAGTCTTTTAACCTTGCATTATCTTCTCCTCTCTCCATCCATCTTGTCTCCTTCCCTTATCGTCCTTGGTGCGATTGGCTGGGATGTAAAGACATTTCAAACAAATGCCAAGTCAAGCG